GATAGGACAGAAAGTGACTTCTATACTTTTAAAATTTATGCAAAACTTAGGAGGTCTTTAGACCGAGCCAACTATATTAATAAAACCACATTTGTTTTTGTGTAACATAGGCTCTGGAAAATTGGATTGTAGAGTTATCCAAAATCCACGTTTGTTTTGGAATAGATATTTCAACATCATCGAACACCGAATGATGACGTAATATCATTGTAATATTATTACGTTTTTATTTATCCAAATTGTTATCATTCATTTTATTTTGAATTGTTATCATTCATTTTATTTTGAATTGTTATCATTCATTTTATTTTGAATTGTTATCATTCATTTTATTTCGAATTGTTATCATTCATTTTATTTTATTTTGAAATATTCGTTTATTTTGTTTTGTTTGAAATATTCGAATTATTCATTTTACTCAAATTATTCGTTTTATTTTGAATTATTCAAATTATTCGTTTGTTCGCTTTATTCGAACTATTCATTTTATTCGAATTATTCGTTCATTCGTTTTATTTGAATCATTGAATCATCAAATTATTCGTTCGTTCGGTTTATTTGAATCATCGAATTATCAAATTATTCGTTATTCATTTTATTCGAATTAACATTCAATGTAATCCAAACACTCAAATTCATAGCAAGTAAAACAAATAATCGAATAAATCCTTATTCGAATAGAAGCCCTAATCAAGCAGTATAGTTGTAAGTAGCGATTTTAATTAGTATTGGTTTTCCATATTTGGTGACTCCAATAACTCAGATCACACACGCTTGCAATATTTGTTACAGTTTTACGACTTCAGGGTGTCAATGCTGAATTGTTGTGAAAATAAACATCATGATGATACTTCTACTGATAAAAATGATAAATATTTTGATAAAAGATATGCAGTATTTGGGGAATGTCCAACTTACAAAAGACATAACACTCATTATTCATGGTGTCAATCATGTGATCCAAAGCTGTTAACTGAAAGATGGACTAGTGGCAATGAAACATTAGATATCATCATTATAATAATCATCTTCAATGGATTCCTTGTGATGATTTGACAAATATTGAAAAGATGGGAGAAAGTGGTGTTGCGACTATATCCAAAGCTACTTGGTTAAATGGTGATAAAAGTATAAATAACAATAATTATAAAAGAACTATCAAAGATAGGACTGTGGCATTAAAAAAACTACATGATTCACAGAATATTTCTGATGAATTTCTTAATGAGGTAAATTATTTATTTTTCTATTTATTTTCTGATTTTAAATATCTCCAACATCGAAATAAAGTTATGTTGCAAAGTCATTTCCAAATTGCTTTAAGCATTGACTATGCTCACCTGATGTGCCAACACCAACAAGCTAGCTAACATTTTAGATTGATGGTTTTATTTTTATTGTTGTGTAATATGTACAAAGTTGAATACAAAATTTAATGGCAAAAATTGATATATAAAATGAAAAAATCAAGATTTTTCTTTGAATCTAGATATAAATCCCAAATTAAATTTCAAGATTTCTTTCGATGAAAAAATGCTAATAAATAAGAAAAGTGAGAATGCTAATTAAGTTTAAATTCTAGAAAATGACAAAAAAAAAAAAAAAAACAATTAAAAAGGTATATATATATATAAAATCACTTATCCATCATGTATGCCTTCATTTCTACTTAATATGAAAATCTTGAGTCACGTTTGTGAAAATATTGGTTTTTCCTCAGAAATGCATGTTTTACAAAATACGTACTGACATCTTTTGTTTTCATCTTGGGTAATTATAAGTAATCTCATCATGTTGAACAAGTTAATCTTCAATAAACAACATCTAGTTTCTAGAGAAATTTTCAAGTTTTTTCCTCTGTGAGATGATGATGTTCCATTTCCTTTAAATTTCAATATTATACTTAATTACTTAATCTCTTCATATGTACATTCCAAGATAGAATTTTCAAATTTTTTTTTTTTTTTGCATTTAAAATTCATTACACCAATACCAATCGTGAAGCAAAATGTTTGCAACGCAGATTTAATTCTGATTTGTTAATAATTATTTTAATGTATTTTTTTATATTACTATTACTATTATTACTATTACTATTATTATTATTTATATATTTTATTTATTTCTTGAATAATTAAGCAAACCACTTGTAGATTATTCATTTTGTCATCATTAAATTATCTCATTAACTCCATTCCCATTAATTTTGTCATCTTTCCAATTTTGTTACTGATTTATTTGCAGATTTTGTTGTTTTTCCTTTTGTTGTTGTTGATCTTGCTGTTGTGGCGGTTGTATAATAGGATTTAGAAAGGGTGGCCTTAAAGAGTTATAATATGTCGTGTGGTTTAAATAGGGATTGTAATTATTTAATGAATTAAGTTGATTTAAATGATTTAATTGATTGTATGGATTTAATTGATTGTATTGATTTGCAGGCATGCTTAATGCTGGAATTCGTTGTATTGGTTTCTGTAAAGGTGATTTTTTTTGGAATAGTGATAGCCCATTAATATCTCCAATTCCATCACCACTCGCATGATTATCATTGCCAATACCTCCGACTCTATTTCCTATTGCTATTGTAAGTATATAATGATTATAGTAAATTGATTTTAATATTTATCAAATTATTAATTGTAAGATGTAAAATAAAAATAATATGCAAAATATATATGTACCATTAATCCTTGATATGTCAGGTTGCACCATCATATTATGATTGTTATTGATTATTATATTATTACTACTGTTATTGTTATTAAAAGGTTGATTTGTTGATTGTTGAGAAGAATTATCATGTCGTTGAGAATAGTCTTGATCTAAGATGGGACTTTGTTAAAATATTTAATAATAATAATTTTGTTAGTGGAAAATTATGATACATTACACAATATGGATTTAATCAATAATAACTGATTTCACACCTTGAATGACCTAATAATTCATTTATGAGATCATTATCTTCATTGTTATTAACAATAGGACGTGGATTTGGTGTTATTAAAGTTGGACATGTCTTATTCCATGTATATAATAATTAATAATTATTATTATTGACTAGTTAATTAATTATTAATTAAATTTTTTTGAACAGTTAATGATAATATTTAATTACCGGATCCGATGACATTTGATAATTTATATTCTTGATTGTATTGTTGTAATCGTTGTTACGATTTTCAATTTTCTGTATTGCTAATGAACTTAAAAATAAAATTTCATGTTTATAAATGTGTGTATAATCAATAATACATTAATACTTTTTTAAATATTCATTATCATTTACCTGGCGTTTGGATTATTCATGAAATTATTTTCACGTTGAAACGCCTTTAATTGTTCTTTCAATCGATTATTCTCATTTGTAAGACTAATCAATTGACTAAATTATAAAAAATATATTAATTAAATTGTTATTATTTATTTAAAATAATCAATGAATGAATGAAAGGAAGGATTGATTACCTTTTCAATTCCCTGTAATCATTATTTGCTTTATAAAGCATATTTTCTTGTTGAGTCACTTTATCTTTCAAATGATTGATGAGGGACTTGGTATTGGTTTGTTGAAACTATTGAAATAAATAAATTGATTGGTTATGATAATTAAATAAATGTAGCAACTATTATTATTATTATTATTTTATTATTAATGATCAATTGATTGATGACTTTACCCTATAGACATCAGAAATTCCATCCAGCATCTCATGAAACGGTTGGAAAAAAGATGATAGTTGATGATCAAGCTTGTGATTGTAATTAAAAATAATAAAAATATATCAAATATAATAAAGAAAGCGTTATTTCAAAAAGAAGATTAATAATCAAATACGCAAATCGTGTTTTTTGCTCTTTCATTCTACTTACGTTATCGTTACATTCAACAATTGCACATTTTTTATTGCAAAATAAGCAATTAATCGTATTACTTCTTGAAGATTTACCATATTCACCTAAAATTTCTAAAAATTTGTTTGAAAGAACTTTATTAATAACTCAACTAAAAACAAAAAAAAAAACAAAGTTTATTATTAAAAAAGTAAAATAATAATACCTCGAGGATTGTTATCGATTGTAGCAGCACTACCATAATTTATATTGACTTTGGTTTCATTGCAAATTCCATTTTGTTTATTATCACTGCTATCATTATTATTACCGTGTTTATTGACACAAGAATTACATATTACATGTCCACATTGGGTCAACCAATACCTCATTTCTTTATCATTAGAAGAAGAATTTGAATAGGCAAAACACATGTTGCAATGTAAGAATATATTGTTATTCATTTTTTTTTTTGTATTTTATTTTTTTAAAAAAGACAAAGTGATTGATGATTTTTATTTTTATATTGATCCACACATTATTGCTTGATATATGTAACACGAACTATTGACAATTAATTTGATCTTTATTTGGCACAAAGTAGTGGAACCAGAGTGGTTCATCCTCCTTTTCTACAATCAGATGGTTGCATAAGAACTTGGGTTATGAAATTTTGCTTTCCTAATCAATCTCTACACGTACAAGATTCTCGCATCTTTTCCCCCAGAATGACTTGAACCTTGAATTTGCATATGATAAATGAGCATAAGTCCACTAATTTACCATTCAAGATGTGGTCTCCCCCTCCCCCTCCCCCCACTTGTAACAGAGCTTCGGGGGAAGGGGGGAGGAAATACAATCAATTTTTATAACATGTGCAAATGATACAACTACATTAATAACATTGCCACTATTTTTCCCTCGTAGATTATTAATTAACTAACTCGAAACTGAACTCATCTCCAACTCAAATTTATTTCAGTACAATTGTTATGCAATCATTACACTCTATGACATTGTATAATATTATTATAAGGAGGCCTGACACAATATTATGCGATAAAATAGTAATATATTGCAGCACATTTGTAAATCAAACAGGATTATAGACCTGCTATAATAATGCATAGTAATTTCATCTTCAAATATTTTTAGAGTCTTTTTTCAGATTTTTTAATCCAATTATTAGAGAATATCTTGCTTTTAAGATGGTGGAATATAATCTTTAAAAAAATTTACTATTCTCTTCTACTCTGACCCTTAATTTCTATATTATAATGCTCTGAACTATTCAAAGCTTATTAATATATTATAAATGCTATACCCGCGATAAGTGTACAGTTGTATTCTTAGTCTAGACAATTGTAAGGATTAACAAATATATACAATTTAGAAAACTTTTGCCATTTTACTGATGTAGCTTGAAATTTATTATTTATAAGGTTATCAAATAAGAATGTAACACTTTCCAAGGATGAAAGACCATCATTATTTCAAATAGGACCCATTTCCGATGTTTAATATTAATATAGAATAGTAATAGTACAGGGTAGATTTATCATTATGTGAATTGAATTTTATTGATTAAAAGATATATTGATAATGACAAAAAAATAGAAAATCTTAATTATAATTTAAAATATTTGGAAGAAGGGTTATTGAAAACGTAGAGTAAAAAAAAATATATATATTGTATGTGTTACCCATGTACGATCAGATCATGTCAATATTTTTATTATAGTTTATATGATGAATGCTCCATATTTAGCTAGAATAATATTAATGTTGTCATCATTCCAATTTGACAATTATTTTTAATTGATTGATGGATGAAGCACAAGAATTGTTTTAAATCGATAAGATGGATCTTTTCTATAGAATAGTTAAAAACCGATAGAATAGAAAATATCAATAATTAATTAATCAACATGTATATAAATAAACACCATCAATTCAATGTAGTGCCAAGGAAACTTTTCAAAGCATTTGAATAACAAGTTTTGTCTTGAAGGAAAGCAACCATCCCACAAACTATCATATCAATATACAAAGTTATTTGTACCTCTTCAATCTGGTCCACCCGAGATTCTTTTTATTTCGTTACCAATTAAGCACACTCTCCCAAACATAATTGGTGACATCTGTAAATGTTATCATTATTTAAGTATTTATGAACTTTACATTCTTCTAACATCTAATCATTTTTATAAGATGAATGTTATTAAAATAACAATAACAATAAGATTAAATGGCTTACTGTATGAAAAGAAATTATTGCATTTTTGAACATCATAACTTCCAATTTGGAATTTTTGAGTTTTCTCAAAATTGATGTTTTGGCGCAGAACTTTCCGTTACACGAATCCTCCATGCATTTTAGTTTTGGCGGCAATTTTCAGCGACTGTCATTTATTAGGAGAGGTAGTTTCAATGGTCATCTATTATTCAGAAAAAATTTTTGTAAAATAAAAAAGTTATAATAAATTGATTCTGCCAATACAATAATTATATATAGTTCTTGGAAAACATTAACGCATTTTACTAAAATATGAAATCTAGTTTTTCTTATTAAGGATCGTAATTTATGGTATCTTTTAACTTAACTAAAATATTTCCCACTCAGATGGTGTTATTGAATTAGAAATTTTTCATTAAGAGATTTTTCTTTTATGTTTCAACAAACAGGATTCATTGACAACTACAGTTTGTTCAATGTTATAACATTTCTTATTGAAGGATCAATTCAAAATTATCCAATAAGAAATTTAAGAATTTAAATTTAAATTTCTCTCATTCTTGTTGAACGGACCCCTTGATGAAATATAAACAATAACAAATAACTCGATTATTCTATAAATAAAATATGGTTGGTCACAATGGTTGATCATAATAAATTTCGTATATGTGGATTTTTTTAGATAATAAATATAATAAATAATTTGGAAACTGGCTCGGAACTTAATGATACACACTCACTGCTCAGCTACAACAAAATAAAATATCTGTGAAATTTCAAAGTTTTTATTTTTGAAAAGATCCTAGAGCTATTTTTTATGTCAACATATTCCCAAAATTTTAAGCAAATCTCTTCGCAATTTGCTTTAGGTGTAACAGAAAAATTTTATTGCAGTTGTCTCACGTATCGCGAATTAAAAAATTTCAGGATTTAAAAATATCAAAATACATAATTGCCACACATATTGATATAAAGTTTATATATAATTTTTTTTACTGTGGAGTTTTGAAAATTAAAATAGAAAATAGAGGTATCCGTCCAGTAACAATAAGTGTACTACTATTATATACTATCATAGGACCCGAATTATCATAATTCTGTGCAACATTTTCCATCTATCATATCAGAAAAATATTGTTTTTACTTACTCCTCCTAAATATGAAATAACAAAAATAATACCTTCTTTCATGAATTTCCTTTTTAATCAGCGGGAATAATTTTCATACACACACAAAAAAAAAGATTTAATATATATAGCCTTAACACGTTTTGCAAAAGAAAATAAAAATATAAACTATCTGCCTGGCAAAATAATTGAACTTATTCTCATATATACTCCTAAGCCTCTTTTCCTAATTTTACTCAATAAAAAATGGTACGGGATATCAAACAAATCAAAAATTCGTGCCAAATGGGTAACACAAAATTACGGAAAAGCAAATTCCTAATCTTATTTCGATGGGATTGGTCGCTTTTCTCATCATAGAAGAAAAAGTGGTTTTATCTAGATATCTTACACAACGGTTGCTTTTACAGTTTGGGAAAACAGATGGTAATCTAATTGAACTAAGAATCAAAAATGATGTCATTATCAATATCAAAAACAACATTGATAATAATACAACCACTGTTATTATTAGAAATAATAATACAAATGCCGTTGTTAGAAATAATATTAATATTAAGAATAGTAGCGACACGTTCAAAGTTACACAAAAATATTTTAGGAATCCATGGGCCTCGAGTATTCCATTGGCTGTATTTATCATCCATTTATTAAAAGAGGCCAAGGAACGATATGGTTCAGATAAAAGGGAATGACATCGAATCGTTTTATTTCTTAACCAACAGGTGGACCATTAGCTATAGATTTAGCAATCAGGAAAATTAAATGAAAACCTTGAAGGAATTAAAGATTTTATACTTGATAAAAAAATTATACCTTTCCCTCCAAGACTAACAGCTTTATTTGAAGACACAATCGAACACCAAAAAGAAATACAAATCATAAATTGTGAAAAATATCCAGTCAAAGATGGTGGTTTTGAAAATAACAAGCAATTAAACATAATTGCCAGAGCAATATTAATTTACCCAGAAATTGTGGAGCTATGGAAACAAATTAGTCACCATGATATATGTATAGATGTCAATAATTTGGTGCTACAAAATTCCTTGTTGATTCTATATTATCCAAATTCAAAAAATGATTTTGTTGAATGCATACAACAATTTATCAAGGTTGGATTCAAATTGACAAAAACTGTTATGACAGATATTTTATTTCTGTATGAGCAACATCTTGCCAAAATTGGAGAAATGCTTATAAAAGCTTTTCAAATAATGTCAAAAATCGAAATCATTGGATGTTGCATTGTGGAGGCTATTAAAATCAATAAATTTTCTCGAGATGCAACTCAAAGAAAATGATTTAGAACCTGTTTATCTTAGAGCTATAGTTTGCCATTATTTTGATGATACCACTAGGAACAAATAATCGAATTTCGAAATTTTGAATTAATAATGACAGCATCAACAACTTCAAAATTTCTAAAAAGACCAACAACTTTAACAAAAAAATTATTGAAGAACCTATTAATTGTCATAAATATAATTATTATTATAATCACAGCTACAAATATCATCCATATGACACTAAGAATTCGAGAAATGTTTATCATTGGACAAAGTATTATATTGAGGCATTGATATGTGACGATAATTTTAAATTATAAATACAAACGTTGAAAGTCCAATAAACAATACAAGAACATTAAAATTGAGTAGCAATTTGTTCAGGCGGATCCTAAAAAACTTCAACCTTGATTCAATTGTCACAAGATTATGTTTCAATGATATAATTATGTCCAAAGTATGGATCGACAGAGAATTGTTACTTTATCCTGAAAGACAGACACCAGAAAAAATAACCAGTTGTGCACTTGAACCAATAATATTTATTTACAACGAATTTTGTAAGATTGACACATTTGAACTTATTAAAGAAATCAAATAATTTTGCAACTTTGTCACCATTCTTTGAAGATTTTTTACCACAAGTTTTTAATATTAACCCAACTTTTGATTATTGCGATGACAATAATAATATCAACTAAAATTACAAAAGCAACTTCTCTTTCAACATCTTGGTAATCATGAAAAGAAAATTGAAATCGAAAAATGAACAAAATTCTGAT